CAGTGTTCGAAAAAGATTCGAGATTTTATATATGTATATATACATTGTATTGGTATGTTTAACGTTCCATTTCCAATAATTTATACAGTATTTTATTTGTCAGAATAGTGTATCGAAATGCATAAAATTCAACGAATTACATAATTGACTGACAAATAAAACGATAATTAAAATTTGCGAAGCAAATTGTAGTTTTACGATGTAATAAAATATCGTGCTAGCAGCATTTCACTTTCTTATGAAAGTTTTCTGAAAAATTTATTTCACAACGCTTCCACGTTTTCCTCTCTTTAGTATCTCTTTAATATCTTGTGACTTTTATAGCTCGTCTGTTTCCTTCTTTTCAGTACCTCCTTGATATCTCATTATTTTTGTACGTCGTTCCGTAATACAGATTAAACGCATTCTATCTTCGCTATTCGTTCAATTGCAATTGTAAATTTTACATATTTATTATATTAAACATTTACGCGTTTACTATTAAAAAGATTGTACAAGTTTAACTGACTCTCTGTTAGTAATTTGACAAGTGCCTGGTTATAAAATAAAGATCCTGTTACAAAAATAATACAGATAACTGTCAATTTTATACAGGAAATAATGCGCAGAACTACTTTTAGATAAGAAAAGAAATTATACATTTTATACAAGAGTCCTATCCTTTTTATACAAGAGTCAAATGAACGAAAGAAATGACAATGAACACAGAATTTGAAATCAAATTTTTAAACCGGACGTTGGTACGTTCGGTGTCAATGCAATAATCGATGCAATTGTAAACAATCACAATTAAAAGAGATAGACTTAATTTTAATAGAAATAATTCTATCAAAAAACGCGGAAGTAAAATGGCAGAGGGAATATTGACTCTATATCGTATTCCATATCGATAGAAATCAATTTTTCATCTCGTTACACTGCGTCTGCACGTAATCTCCGCGCAATGCCTGTAAGACGTTGCAAACCGGAAACGGCTGGCTTTAGATGGCGCCAGCATCAATTTCACTCGCAGTCAAAGTACGTACTACATCGTTGCGAAACAGAATGTTTGAACAAGCAGGGAAATCGCAACAGGTTATACGTGGCATCTGTTGCTTCTCGATTCGATTGCTTCTGAAAAATTGGCACAGACACTGATGAATACGTTCATACGCATATTCAGAACGAGAACAACAGGTCTCAGTGACTTTCAAAATGCAATCAACAAATTAAACTGTATTAAAATGTATATTTTAATTTGGATCCTTTCATTGTTAGATAGCTATTTCATCGATACAATCATTTTGAAATTTATTGTCACAATTTAATGGGTGTCGTACATCAAAATTTTCAAAATGAATTTTGATGCTCTTTGACTTTGTTTCTTTTTTTTTTTTTTATTAATTTTATATCGACCAGTGCTTTTTATTTAAGCTATATTTTATTCCAGACTCTAATTATTACAGTTTTCGTCTGCGATTTGTTTGCGAAAGGCTTTTCATTTATAAATAATGTTATTTATTTTTTGACGCCATTTTAGAATGACGTGGGAAAGGGAAACAAATCGATAGAGTCCGCAGATGTAACCATAAACGAGAAGATTAATCACCTGCCCCGCTTTGCGTTACTGAGATAACGTCAAAGACGATGTAGACATTGCAAAAACACATACCGTTAGGGATTTTATGTCTTACGATGTAATTGATGTACTTAGCGTGCATCAACAGCGGCAGTTTGTTGAAGCTTTATACTGTTCCCCCGGGGATAAAATGGGACGATTAAGAGTCCATGAAAGACAAACAAAATACTGTCAGAGATAACATACGAGTTAGGCAATTAATATGTTTTATTTCTACTTCCATTCTGGGGATTAAGTCTAGAATAATATGTATTTAATGTTCTTGGTACTTCCCTGTTAAATAAGTATTGTTATATTAAATAAATATTTATTAATTAAGTATTATATTTGCCTTTAGTCAGGAATAGAAATCTGGCCATGCATAATGTATTTAGTAAAATTTTCATTTTCTGTCTACAAAACTATATATCATCAACAGCAAATTGCAAGACAAAAATACCAGATGCCTACTACGTAATAAAGAAACAAAGCTTCTGATATAATAGCACACGAAGCACGTTAGAAGTTGTATTTAGTATAGAAACTATAGTCAAGAAAAGGGGACGAAACATATGTACAACACCTTAATACTTGATAAACTTTATCTTTAAAACTTTTCGATACCTCTTTATTCTAATAAAAGACATTCTCAATTCCCGATACACGATAGATTGCAACCATCCAGGGATTGTTGAACTTTCGCACGTGCGCAAATGTTGTTGCAAAACATTCTGCGCGACCTGTTATCTTACGATCTAGAATGCATGCATGAACAATGGCGATTAGAGCACAGCGTCGAAGGAGTAGCGAAGCGATTCGATCGACACGGTGAAAACACAGGATGCAGTCAATAGGGTGGTTCGTCTGCTTTTGTGGCAGCACGATAGGAAATCAGATGAAATCGGACTCCTGATACGGCCGCATTTACCTCAACGTGTAAATGCGCGCAGCGTACACGTGTATGACACGTTTGCGTGACACGTGAATGCCCGGGTATCGATAACGTAGCTCTAAATGGCGAGAGGTAGGATCGATCGCGTCGATCGCATGCAAAACTATGGGGCAGGTTTTGTTAATCACGTCCCAGTGTAATTTGATTTTCTGTCGATATCGAGGTATTGTACATTGATAAGTTATCGGTCAGTACATATAACTATGTACCAAATTTCAATATTTGTATTAAAATGCTCATTGATGTTGATTGAAACATTGATTGATTAAAATAATCATAGAGATGATTTCGATGAAATTAAAGTTGCATTTTACTAAAACAGCAACGTAATTACACGTACATACGTTGTTTGCTCTCATCGTATTCGTGTATTATATGTAAATAAAGTGTACATAATATATATAAATAAAAGGTTGAATAAATTCCAGCGATATAAAAGAAAGTAAGAAGAAAAAAGAATGTAGAACATTTTTTCGTTATCTAGTAGTATATCTGCAAGAAGCGGTTAGGTTGTCGAGCGACGTTTTCATTGAGCAAATGAAGCTTGGAGTTTCGAGTTCGGGGTATATCGTGACTATAGGAGTAGGTTCCTAGGGCGCTAGAAATTCCACAATTACTCGCTATCCGCGATTCCACTTATCCGACGATTTGCCAACATCCAATCGTACGGTCAATTTGTACGTCTCGACGATTTGAATCTATCGAGCGTGCTATATCGGTAGGTACATTTGCGTTTATCTGACACGATTATCGGATGAAACTGAAACGTAGAAATGTCTACTGCGACGTAGATCCGTTGAATGGACGTACCATATGTGTCAATAATTTATAATTTCAGAATTCTCTTATTACTCACTGGAGAAAAGATTTTTAACTGTTTATTCGAAAGAAATTTATTCCAACAACTGTATAGTTTTTACATAATTTTTGTTTGATATTTTTTTTTTCTAGTGCTATAGAGGACGAATTGTAACGATAATGAAGCAACAAGTATTTTCACAAATGTCTAACTTTTAAGTTGCACAATTTTATAGACGGTTGATGTATGTTTCAACGAAATATTTTAAACAAAATTGCAGGAAGCAATTTTAATGCTCTTATGCAAAATGCTGACAGAGTAATTAATTGCCATACGCTCTCTAGTGACTTAGTAGTACATTGTCATGGATATAATGACAAAATTGGAACGCATGTGGCGTGCAAGTATAAAAATAAGACCTGTGTGTTCAGAAGCCTTAGTACCATCCGCGCAGTAGTTATAGCAATTTATCTTATCATTTTCTTCATCGTACGAATCATTCCATCCTTAAAAATCGATTTTATTATTTTTCTTAAACCACTCGTAACTTTATCGAGTACGATTAAACAAAGTCTATTTGATAACAGGGTTAAATTGTAATATATATATATATATATATATATATATATATATATATTATTACTGTAAATTGCAACGAAAGTTGTCCAATTTAAATTAAATTCAATCACTTTATCGCGTTTCACCTTCAATCTGAACAAATATAGGTGATAGAAATAAATGAGATAAATATCATTTCGAGGATAATCGCTTTAATTCGTAGAAGCGTTGTTTTTGTGTTTGTTTTTGTGTTTCGACTATACATAACCGCGAATTTAAACGATTTTAGAGTCTCTTTCTGGCACAGTTTGAGCAGAAAGCGAGCGTCGTTAGTTAAGAATCTTGTTCCACTTCGAGCGAGCCTTTTGTCCTTTAAACACAAGTGTACCGAAGGTTTCTCCTTTCTTCTCCTTTTGTTTCGTCTAGCAAACAGCATTTCTCTATTTGAAATGGAAGCTAGTGCAGAGGATTCATATTAGAAGGAGAATAAATTACCACTGGTGATGCATGATACGATATTTACATCGGTTTTAATAAAATTAATTGTAATATATTTTCAAAAACTATCGAGGGATATATCTATTTATTTTTAAAATTAATTGCTTATCACTTGCTGATCATTGCAACGGATTTCTTATTAATAAACTGTGCACATTTATACAAATCCATGTATCATTCTTTTGTCATTTCAATCACAGAACGAATGCGGTTTGTTCGTGTGAATCAGCCTGCACACGGAAAATTACGGCCAGGAAAATTAATTAACTTTTATTAATTAAATTATCCAAAAACTAACAATTTAATTAGCGGTTAGAAATCAGTTTAATAAACTGACGTTTCTATAAAATTATGAAATTATTAAACGAAGCGATCTGAGGAAATAATGAAAAATTTCTCAGTTAACAAATTTAATTTCTCACGAAACAAGGTACCAAAGAAAGTTTCTGTTCACTTCGGGGGGGAATCGAATTGTCGTTAGAAATTTTTAAACTGTGATTTAGTACTCAGGCTAAGAAGTAACTATGGTTATCAATTCTCAATTACAGTTTCTGTTAGTTCGATAGTTTCTTTTAACTCTCTGTTTTTCTTTTTAGTTTCAATTCTTTGCACGTGCATTACGTTCCTCGGATATTATTTAAGTGAGCCACTGCTACGAATTACGTGGTAATTATTTTTTCTTCGATATTAATTTTCCTTTGTTTCTTATTTCGTTAACATTACTAATATTTTAATTAATTAATTTTCTCTTCTTTTATTGACTAACACGGATTAATTATTATTAATTTATCGTCTAATTTTATATCTTATTATTAATTTATTATTAATTGTGCTTCCTAACGTTTCGAATCAATCTCTTTACTGACCGTTTTATATTTATCTGTGTTAATAGATTACAGGAATATCTAATTTATTAAATACGTGACATACAGAGTATATCAATATGGAAAATATAGAATTACGAAGTCGAATGTTTAATGGAGAATTCTGGTACGTTTAGCTACGTTAAACGAAGTGATCGATCAATGTCAATAAACATTTCGATTGTTAGTTCGTTTCCTCCAGCGTACATCATCATTCATATAACAAATAAATTTCGATAAACTTGAGAAAGTTAATTACCTTCCTTAAGAAAGTTATTGATTATTGATTTTGCTTCACTTTTCATTTTAACCAAGGAGTTGATATTCCTTCCATTTATTAACAATAAATTTATTCTTTCAAGTTCCTTCTTCTGTGGAAAAAATCTTTATTTTTTCTTTACGATTGTACGTAATAAAGAAATAGTAGAAATAACTGTGTCTGAATAACTGAACGTAAAACGTAAAAAATAATACCAAACTTATCGTGTTTTTCTTTTAAACTTACGTTTTTCTTTTATTTTTTTTGTTTCGAATATCCGCCTGTGTTATAAATAATATCACAATATAATTAATTAGATGATCAGAATATAATTAATTAAATAAAAAGCATATCCACAATACGTAGGCCGGCTTGTGATAAGTCTATCAGACGTGATTTCTCTACGGAATCGAGTCTAATTGCGTTGCAAAACATTACTTATTGTTTCCTGTCTCGTCGTTCGCAATAACTCATCACCCAGTGAAGTTGTTGCAGTCTTTGTGCATCTGTTGAAACGATCTCTATTCATAAATCATGGCACCTTTTATGTGTAAAGGGCGTACTTCTATTTGAATTTTACGTTTGATTTATGTAAAGTTTAATTACCGACGCGAGAAAGGGATTGTAAAATATTTTCGGAGGAATATTTTTCGCAGTATTTTATATCGTTGACTGACAAACAAAAATTTACGAGAGGATTATTAATAATCGTACGGACTATTTATGTCATATCTAGTTGAAATTTCGCGAGAACTTTTTGCTTTTTTCGCTTTTCTCGTTATTGACATTGATCGAAAAATGTGCATCGTTAATCTTGAGCAGAAAGCACGGCTTGTCCTATCTTGATTAAGAGGGTCTCCATGTCACGAGCAACAAATTTCTTTTTGATTTATGGTGTCACAGATCGGTCACGAATTTCAAACGGAATCTTAACGCGAGATAGAGAAGAATTTTTATGCCTTGTTTATATGTTTATTCTGTTAACTTTATATTTTATTCTGTTAACACTCGTGAAAGTATGAAAGTAATACAAATATCCGTAATCTGATCTGATGAGTCTTCAATGTGAACAAATTATTAACGAAATTAATGAAATTAAAGCAGTAAGCAGCAAGAGAACAGTCTGTAACGCAATAGAGGACACGAATTTTTATTTATATATTTTATTATTCTAATCTCTAAAAATTCATCATTATAAATCTATAAAATTTGTATAAAAAAAATAGAAATACGTGATTTTGACCACTTTGGTAATTCTATTGTTAAAAAAGAAAAAAAATGTTCATTTTATTTAAACGTGTATGGCTGAATTTAGATTATTTTAGAACAAAATAGCAAATTATGGTTTGTTTTCAGGAATGTTCTAATTTCAATTATCCTTGGATAAGAAGTGTATGGAATTGTGTTACGTGAGGAAATTTGTACTTCTGGCGCAGTTGACATAACAGATGTTATTTGAGAGATTATTTCAAGCAGCATTTATTCGAATGAAAGAAATTAAGCAAGAAATTAGTTTCTATAATTCGACAGCTAGATAATAAAATAATTTACAGAAAAGATATATATTCTTTATATATTTATTATATATAATACATAATAAAGATATACATTCTCTCATCTTATCTTATATTAACGTATAATTATTGATGAATACAACTATCAAGACAAATATTTTATTCAAACAACATTCATGATTTGGCTATTTTACAAAAATAAAAATCTTAAATTAATTGTTAAAATTCACTGTCGACGAAAAACCTTAAGTTCTACTCGTCTATCTGTCGTTAGAAATACAAATTGGAGAAACAAGTTGTTCTTTCCAAATTCTTTGTGATTTGATTGCACGGTGAAAACGTGAGCCCGATGAATTATTAAGAAATTGTTTCGTTCTAGATGCCCGGGAACACGACAGTGGGAAGTACACTTTTGGACGAGGAACTTCGCCGTATCTTGCTGGAAAGGGAGCAAGAATGTTTGCAGTTGCAAGCGATGAATTCTACCCCGCCACCAGGTAGGATTTACTACGTTCGTAGTTGTCGCAATATAAATTCAAGCCAATTTTCGAAACTTCCATCTTTGAGAATTTATTAAGTTAAGGTAGCATGCGATCAGATTTTCTGGGTGCGAGTTAAAACTCGGAAGATCGCGGAGCAGAAAATGCAAATTCTTGCACGCGGATTCGAAGTTGACTCGGGAATTATTGAGATTTGTCGCATGCAAAAATGTTATTTTTCGCACACTCAATGTTATTTTTCGTATTTTCTTCTTTTTTTCCTTTTTTCTTTTAAAGCGCTGGATCTTATGTTTATCTGACACGTCCACTGCACGTCCAAATTTACGTGATATGGAAGAAAGAGAAACTTAAATTCTGAAATGTTGCACATTTTTTAAAATGCACGATTGCAAGTCACGAGATTCTTTGCATTAAAACAAATCCTCCTATGATACGGTCGACAAATCTAGTGAGATTTTTTCGAAACTAAGGATTTTATCCGAGAAAGATTATAAAATTTATTCATATAGTAATCTCCCACTCTTTTCCATTTTTTATCGTACAAGAGATAAAGAATTAAAACGAAAGAAGAATCTCATTGAGTTTCATTTTAAAACTCAAAGATGGATATGTCAAAGCCTAATTATTCAATTATTTAATTAATTGTCAGTTACTAATATATAATAGAAATAGAAATTTTAATTATTTTAATGATTCATATATTTATACAACATTTTACTATCTTACAATATTGAAAAAATAAAAACTGTACAATATTCTTTTTACAAATGAACAATTGACTTAACTATACAAAATATGGTGATGCATTCACACCGCACACGTTAGGACAATTTACTTCTTCTTCTTCGACTCGGAGATTTTCTGTTTGCTACAAGATCTACAGCCAAATATATAATTCTTTAATTTTTGGATCAATAAAACCGCGATGTAAAGTACAACTGCTACGCAAGCTAGTATGAACGCGTAAATGTCCAAAAGGTTCTGCTGCCACCAGGTAAGATGCATAGCTGGTGATTGCAGGATGAATCCGTTTCTGCCCACGTATTCAATCCAGTATATAGCAGTGTCTATGGCACTCATGGGTCTCTCTCTGAACAGATTCGATAATCTCTTCATGTTCGATCTGAAAATTCGGGGAATTGGAGGCATTAAGATTAATTGATACGGATAATAGCGACAGAGAGGAGAAAATTGCAAAGTGGAATCAGATTGTTCGAAAAATTCGCAGTGAAAGTCGAGAAACGAAGAGAACAGATAGCTCTAAAATTTGGTAGTGAAATCGAGGTGAAAAAGATTTTATGATTTAAATCAAGAATAATTCATTTTCAAGAAAATTGATTTTGAAAACTTGTCAGCAGACTACGAATTTTTACGCATTTGTAAGAAATTTGAATATGGAAAAATATATGAAATATCCGAAATATAACATTCGTTATAATATCTAGCATCTAAAGCAATCCTCTGTTTATTTTTCAAATTACATTTGTGAAATTATGTAATTTTAAATTACATTTATGAAATTATGAATCTGCACAAGTAATTCGCAGTCTATTTATCAAGTAGTAAACATGAATTTGTTTGATTCTCACTAGAATAGTGTAGTAAAATTTTATACTATTTATGGTTGAAGGGCAAAAAATACTAACTGAAAGATAGAAAACTACCAAGTAAAATGACAGGAGAAGAAATAAACGAAACTGGAGTATGCAAAGTGGAAAAGTCTGTAAAAGAAGAAATATTTCGCGTAATGAAAAAACATAAAAATGAGAAAACGAAATGAGAAATATTATGCAGGATGTGTCATAAAATGTGAGACTCGCTTCAGGAACGGGGATAGTAAACTAAACAAGATACTAAACTAAATACTAAACAGAGAATATTAAGATGAAAGAAAGTTTATATAAAATGTCTTGTTTGATTTTGCTTCAAAGTTATAACCATTATTGTGTTTCTGGCGCCATTTGAAAACAATCGTCTATTCGATGCCAACGTTAAAGAGTTTCGTGCTTGTACATGTATAATAAAATTGTCAACAGACATACATCGTAAAATTCTTCGATACTGCAAGCTTGCATACAGACCGACGATAAACATTTCGAGCATCTCTTGCGAAGATAAGCAGGTTATGGATTATTGAAAAGTAAAAGTGGCTGTAGCTTTGAAACTAGGTTAAATAAGATGTGTGTATGTTCATACGAAATTTTTTTATTATTTTGGTGTTTCCAAGAGTGGAGTTATGATACACCTTGTATACTTACCTATATGTTTCATCGTACAAGACTGTGTCAAGCGCTTGGTAGAGAGTTTCTTCCGTGATGTTATCGAGAGAACCAAGATTCACGGCCACTTTTTTATTAGCCGCGTGTTTCAAATTCATGTGCTGATCACCGAATAGAGGGATTCCTACCAAGGGGATCCCAAAGTAAATAGCTTCTTGCGTACCCATCAAACCTCCGTGCGTTATGAACGCTTTCACATTTTTGTGCTCTGAAATTGGAAACGAGACATTTTCCTCTAAATATTCGTCTAAATATTCCGTATTTTCAGCAGCAATTTGAGAAGGTTTCATCATTGGTAACAAAATATGCTTTTTTCGCCGCGATACCATTGATGAGCACTCGAATTCAATCGAAATATCTATGTTTACATGACAACGTAAAGTTATAGAAATTGAAAAAATAATACGAAATTTTACATTTACTTTGGTGAAATTCAATCATGAGATTTGTATTTTTATATGACAGAACACGGAAGTGAAAATATTTTTGGCATATAAATCGGTATAAAGTGTGAGTAAATATAAAAATATTTCTACAATGTTTCTGCAATTTACAATCAATCAGTTATATTTTTATATTTTCACATTATGTCGTATGTGGATTAACAAATGATTATTCAACATTTGGAAGCATATATACAGGCTGTTCCGTAACTGATAGAACCAAATAGAAAGAGATCCTACGTGAATTTTTTTCATCTTTCCCTTTGTTTCCGAGAAAATCAAATTTGAAAATTTATCAAGCATTCTTGAATTTAGTTAATTCCGTATTGGACAGGCGCGAATCGACACTTTGAACATGTTTCGTTAAAGATCACTTTGGTACGCGTATACTTGATAAATTTTCAAGCTCGGTTTTCTCGAAAACGAAGACTTTAATGAACTTTAATTTTATTCTCTCTTTCCGGTTCATTTTCTTTTGACAACAGAATCACTGTTGTATCACTAGTTACGGAACACCCTGTATAATCTTCACAGTAAAAGAATTAGAAATTTAAATTTACAAAGCTACTCACTGAACACAGTTACTTGAGGATACCAGGGTTGTACCATCACGTTCTTTGGCAGTCCAGGCAGTAGGTCCTCCTTTTTCGCAACTTTCATCAATACTCGAACGGGCGCGATTCTCTTGAAAACTTTATAGAAAGTTTCGATAAGTGGTTTAGGGAACGTCTCGATCCTCACCATCGATCCAAACGTAAAGAACACGCAGCCTTGTGTGCTTTCGTCTAGCCATTTTTTCACTTCCTGTTGATTTAAAACAAATGTAATAATGTAATATACTCCATCGATGAAAATCGTGAAACATTTTTCACAGCTGCGCGCATGAAAAATTTCTTATTGTCGCGAATGACACTGGCACCGATTGCGAAATAACTTGACCTCATTAACGAGACAAAAATTTACAGCTAATTGACGTTGGACAAAGTTGTAATTACGCGTCGCGAAATACAGAGAAATACTCGCGTGACGAATTGATTATTAATTCCTTGTCTGCTTTGTAACTTCGAATGTATTATGGTAATTACACGTTGCAACATAATCTTGACCAATCATCTTAATGGCAGCTCGAGATTATTACACTTTGAACAAGATACCTGTACGTTAATTTTTCTTTTTTAAACCGAAACTTGAGTGAAAAACTTGAGGTCAAATATATTTTACGGAAGATTTATAATTTGAAATGGATACCTTCAGTCCTAAACTGTGATCTTCAATCGCTGTAACAACTATTAAGACCAACTGATATGACTTTGGATCTCATAGAATTCAATATCTTTCGCTGACGTTTTTAAGGATATTTCTTTCTCAACAACGATAATCGTTATCGATAATTAAAAAATTAAAAAAGGTAGTTGAAAATCTAAAACGTGAAAGACAGATTTGTCCTAGACATTTATTTAGTTCTACAGTACTTGTGCCGTGTCAATGATACGCAAAAGAAGTTTTTTTCTGCTTTTTCTATTCTTCGAACAAAGAAATGAAGGAAACCATCTTTCGCTCACCGGTGACAAGGGATCCGAATTTTCGTTGATGTGCAGGCCACCGACCTCGATTACCCCAGGTGTCGTCGGATTGATTCCATTTATACTGTAATGCGAGTTCACCAAAATGGCCGCAACGTTCCGATAAAGATCCGGGATTTCCGCGTCTATGTTCATGTACTTTCTCACGAAATCAGACTGTTTGTTCATATGGGAGATGATCTGGCCTGCTATTAGATTCGTTAGAACGGTATTCTGCAGCCTCTCCCAAAAAGTCATTCGCTGGCTTAACGATTGAAAGATGCCAGGCGTGAAGGAAGGATTATACGGATTTCCTATGTAGCTGCTGAGCCATTCAGGGAAACCGGAAGTGATTATGCCGACTATGGGTTTGTTTAGATGGCTACCAAACCCGAGATAGCATGGAAACGTGAACATCTGAGGAAGATAAAAATCACTTTTTTCGGTCTTTTAATTCCGCATGATTCTTTACAGTTTTCGAATTGGTTGCACAAGCATTCAAATTATCTATGTCTTTAAATATAAATTCAGATTCGAGTTGAGTTAGATTAGATTTGAGTCGAACTATACACATATTATCGCAAGTTCTCTAAATTTTTGAATTCTGCTTGTAGAACGTTATTTCACACATTTTTGTTCTTAGAAATTCAATATTATTTAGAAATATTACTTAGAAATTTAATTGTCATTCTAATAGCACCACGTTGTTAAACTGCTTCTACAAATTATGTAATTATCATTTCTTCTAGTAATTCTTTTTATAATCATCATATAAAAATTGCAAGTTGTGTTCTTCGTGCGAGATGTGCAGTGATCAATCTGCCGTGAGAAATGTTGCTAATGAAATGTTGCTAATGAACATTTTGTGTATTTCAAATTATCAAAGTTTATTTGTTATTTACCTTGAAGATTTTATTTCTATAAGATCTAGTTATGACATATATACTCAACGAAAAATACACGGAAGATACATTAATGGACGTAAATATATTTTGTATTTTAATGAGTCGATATCCATTTCTTGGACAATGGCTATAGTTATAGTAATACGTGCAGTGCATATTATGAATCAGCTTCTGATAGAAATATAGATAAATATGTGTAACACAGCAAACGTGTTACGTTTGAATACGAACGTGAAAGAATTGCGTAATATTATGTCTCACAAGGAAAAGGAAGATTGTCCGAACAAACTAAGACATTAGTCAAGTTCATTTTTTTCCTAATTAAAAAGTAGTAAGATTCAAGAATTTGTTAATTGAGAGAGATGTGAAATAGCTGAATTTTTATAGAAAATAAACAGCGAGATTAATATAAAGTGAGCAGTTTCTTTCATTAGTCTTAGATCTTTCAAATTTCGTTTTCTAAATATTATAATATTTTATAAATGTAGATTATTGTCAGTATTATTGTAGCTTATCACGTTACTAGTGAAACGAAATGAAATAAAGTGACACTTTATCAGTATCGAGCATTTTCCTCGCTATCTTGTCATTATATTCTGTTACATAACACTTCAAATATAAGTTCAAATATGTATTCACTTCGTCATAACTAGAAATACTAGTCATACGAGAATACGTTTGTAACAAAATATATCCATTCTTATCTCGTTCATTAATTAAAACTAAGAGACTAATGAAGATAACGAACTTTGCGATGGTATTTCTATCTGGTGCATTAAGCCGACTAAAGAGAATTGCTAATTTTTCTTTCGAGCAAAATGTTAAGAGATCACCAGTTTCAAAACAAATTCACATTAAATTTTCCAGAAGTGCCAAGAGTGGGAGGAAGAGTGCCTCGAAATGAAATGTAAATATATAATGAAATAAAGTAAAATGAAATACCTCTATTATAATAAGATCGTAATCCTTAGACGTTTTTAAAACGTCTTGTAACTGCTTATGCGACATCAATTCGCATATACGAGTTCCTGCTATTTCCATTAACTTTGCTACATCGAGGTTACCAAACGCTGTCACATTGGTTGCGTTCATGTTATTTACCACGGTCGGCAAGGTTCCGTCCAAAGAAATTTGGTTATAATTCAGTGGCAGTTTCTTCAGTGGGAAATGAGTAACAACGTCCACTTGATGGCCTCGTTCTGCGAGGCTCGTCATCAGACGTTCTGCCATGACCCAATGGCTCTTTCCATTCAGTGGAAATATGCCAAGAATTTGTAGACCGTTGCACCAACCACACGCTATAATCGTCAAAAATATCGGTAGGAGAAGTTTCATCGTGACGACTTTTTACTTTCTTCCTTTCAGTTTCTTTCAAATCTCCCCTTCCAATCCACTAGTTTGATGGCTTGATCGAATTCTTTCAGAATATTTATCCACTAATTACGAGGGCTAGTATCTTTTCGTCAATTGTTCTTCAATTATTTCTAAATCAGAATATTTGATTTAATATTGATTTATTTTTGATATATCTTTCAATGTTAATTTACTTCTCGCTGTTCCTCAATTAATAGTGAGATATAAATCGAACTTTGACGACGAACATTTATTCGAAAGACTGATCAGATTATTCTTCTGCGCGGCGATTTATTTGATGCTGTGTCACTTATATGCCTACTGATACAAAGTACATTATGCACTCGCGTGAGGTTGTATTAGATTTTCTGTGTAGATAATGGAACGACGGCTGTTTCAGTGGCAGTGGGATTACATGTGACGTATGAACGAGTTAATAGACAAATATCTTTGTCTCGTTATCGACTTGAGAAACGGATGATGAAATAGTGATGATGATTCATGAATTTCGTTACCTTACGTATGATGACTTAGCAGCACAAAATGACTTGAAATTTCAAAATATATATCAAGAGACATTAATACAGATTGTGACTTTTTAAATATTTTTATAATAGTTTATATTTGTCTTCTTTAATATTTCTTCCATTGAATATCTTGCAATATATATATAAAGTATAATATATAATTATAAGAATTCCAAGAATTCATTCAATGCCCTTTCCCATTATTATTTTTCTCAGCCAGAATTTGCAAACACAGAATTTACATGTAAATTGAATGAAACTGAAACAACGTTGATGTCATGAAAAGCTATTTCTTAATTGGAGCTTAGCTATTCATATTGTATACTGTGTGTATTGAAGCTTAGCTATTCATATTGTATACTGTGTGTACACTCATTTTTTAATACTAAATATATATTTGCTTTGAATATATTGTAACTTGTATATAAATTATCAGATTGATTTAAAACTTATGTCATCGTAATAGCCGTCTCTCATTGCAGTATTGACGAAATTTCAGAACATTTGGTCTAACACAGATAATATAACACAGTTCTGCGATAAGTGTTCGAAAATTTTCGTAGTACTATAGGTATATCGCTATGCTCTAATTCTGACTAATGAAGTTATTGTTAAGAATGGGAACAGAATCATTCAGTTAGATGTTAGATGTTATCATGTTAGATGTTATTATGTAAGATAATATAAAATTGAAATATCCGAAGCATGTACATTATTCTAGTAAATTATCAATTAATAATAAACATTCGAGACGATGTAAATATTTATATGTCATTACATTGCCAATTTGCCTAAGATATGATGCATTTTTAATTTTTACTTGACATAAATGTAATCTAAGATACGATGAATACATGTATGTTAAATTTGATAAGTATGACAAGTATATGTATGTATGTATATATGTATGTATGTATATATATATATATATATATATATATGTGTGTACTATTGTGAATAAACATGTACTAATAAAATATTTATTGAGATGATCTATTATTCAATTACATATATTATTTAACTTTTGTTGTGTTGTTACTCTGACTTACGAATTATTTTAGAATTATCTGTTGAACCCAGTGTTCGCGCATGATAACTTTTTTTTTTAAATGATAAACAACATGACTTTTGATCCTTTTCTAACCGAAAATCCTTTATTACTGAAGGAACTTAAAAGCTTTCAATTCTAATTATAATAATAAAATCTTACGAACAATACAAACTTTTCGTTCGTAAATAAATGATAAAATAATGAATAAAGTATAAAAAAATTTATCAACTGAAATTACTTACGATAAGCATAACAACACAAAAAGATATTAGACCCACAAAAGTTCTCGTTCATTTGGTATTGCTTCGTTTTCTTTAATTTTTTTTTAAACGACACTCACGCTCGTTATGAAATAATGACACTCGCGCTTGATAATGTTTATTAATATTCAATAATAATGCTAAACGAACCAACGACGTAGGAGAAACATGTTCGTGTCCGTACCCGTGGAAGGTAGAATCACACTGATGCGAGAACGATTCAAGATCGCGATATCTATTTGTGAAGCGTCAGGAGCGTTCGAACAAAATGGATGCTGGAAAGTTGACCGTTTCAGACTGTCTGGAATATTTTATCATTTTTTATAACGCGCGAAGAAAATTACAGTCGCACAAGAACGGAATTTTCTTTATAAAGTTAATAGTGTAATAAATTAATTAAAATTAAATAGTGTGATGTACTAAATAAGATTAATTAAGATTAAATGATATTTTAACAGTATTTTAACTGTATTTTAATGACTAGTATTGGGAAAACAAAGATTTTATTAAATATATATATATATATTTATTTATTTATTTATTTATCAAAGATAGAATTTCAGTGTTAATATAAATACAGTTCGATGCTTCAAACATGGTTCGATAGTTCTTGTCATTTAATTCAGTAAAGATTACGTCGAATCATATCGTTTGGTTAATAAACTTTTTGTATTTCTATATCTGAATTTTTTCGAAGGAATAGAATATTTACAGAAAAAATGAATTAGGAAAGGAAGGGAACGGCAGGTAAATTTCAGAGAAGCTACGGACTACCACAAACCGGTTTTATTTGTATTTCTTAGAACGTTTGGTACCCCCCCAAAAAAAACTAATTCTCTATGAACATCCTCTACGAGATATTCTAAGAATGTATAGAATAGAAACCTTATTGCAGAATTATAAGAATGAAAAATATTTTCATAATCATTGTGCTTCTTAATTATTTCTCCCAAAAGTAATTGAGTTCGAACAGTTTGATGTGTTGATTTATTGAAAGGAAATTTCCCCTTTTATAGTTTATACGAAATATTATTATCTGATCCAGTTTTCTCGATCACGACATAGTTCGACAGAGTTTTTTTTATTGATTACATGTCGCGTGCAATTGAGAGACACTAACATCTATGACTAATATTTATTCGGTCGCAGTAATATCTTTCAGTCGTAGTGTGTCAATTGCGTCGTATCGATCTGACAGAAAAGAAAAAAAGAAAAAAGAAACACTTATTTTGCATGTAGTCGCTTCCATGTGAATTTGGCTGCCTCTTCCTGCAATTTTTATACGCTCATTTTTCCATCGTGAAAAATGAACTTTTATATCGATAACATTTAATTTACAAACATTGTAATTATGTATTTACAATGTGAATTTTATCAGTCTTTTTCTTAGCGTTTTGTCATCTTTAAATATTCGTGAATATCTTATCTCTACTGTCTGACATAATGAATTTATCACAGTGAGTTTTAAATTAATGGATCATTTGCTATAGGTATGTACATTGCGATATAATATATTTGTACAAGAAATAGAATTTGATGCTAAAATTAGCAATCAATAGATGAAGTGCCAATTCATATACAAATTCTTTTCAGAAGCAAGTTCTTCTTTATATAGAATAATTTTATCTTAAGAATCATTTATTTCGTATTTATGATTTTCACGTCTGACTTGCACGTTTCTGTTAATTAGAGAAAAGAAACGATCTGAATTCTGTCGATCAACTAAGTAAAAAGAAACCAATCAATTTCTTAAATCTATTTAAAAGAATCATTGATCCATTTACTCAATCATTAATCAATCAGATTTCTTTATTTTTCCTGGCCATCTTCATTTTTGTGTCTCCAATATTCGCCTTTGTTTTCTAGTTCTGTATACGTGTGCGTGTGTATGTGTGTGTGTAGCATATGTGTAGCATTGATATTTCTGCTCGATCGATCAAGAATTTTCCTCGAAAATGGCACATGGTCGTTCTAACATGCTCGTGTTTCACGGATCAACCTTCTCGAGACTTTTTCCGCTAGATTCGTAACCAACGATATTTTCCAATATTATTCCCGAGCGATTCGTTCGTGAACGGATGGATCGACGTTGCCATGAAAGCTGATTCACAGCTTCGAATTTATCGTGGAATATATCGTGCGATAGCACCCCAATTCAAATGCGATTTGCGGCTTTACGCGGCGGGAATTTATGGCAATAACTAACTTGCGCAGACGCTTCTCTCGCGGTCACTCGGTTCACGTTCGAATTCCAAACGTATTCTGTTTTCTGTCGGTGAAATTTTCGTAATGATGACTCGTATGTATGATTTTCATGCATTTGTGACATGGATGATACTGTGTCCAATCCAGGAGAAACGCAGGATTTGAATTATTAGAATTGTTAGAGATGGACGACATTATTCGCGCATTTTTAACTTGGCAGCACACACGTATAACAACAAACAAATATAACGTATAAATATAACAATAAATCCAGCGGGATAACTGACTTCATTTATTAGATTACGATTTGTTCAGTTATACATATATTATTATAATTATATATCATATAATTATATTATAAATTTCTCAAATTTTCTGGATATAATTATAAATTGTTTCTTGAATTCTTTGGAGTAAAATTAATATTCGTGTACCTATATCTATATACTTGTGTATACGTTGATATGTATATTATGTATATCTACATACACGTATATTTATGTATCTAATATTTGTATATCGTATATCGTATTATATATTGTATATCTACATATTTACATGTTGATGCATTGCTGTAATTTCAAAGGTTGTAGCTATTTTTTCTAAATAAAAATAATTGGCTAATAATTACGATTGGAAAATAATCAAAAAATGGAAAATTGGAAAATAGTAAAAGTCAAAATGGATAAGCGATTTCCTTGATGAAATGTTCTCTCTCTCTCTCTCTCTCTCTCTCTCTCTCTCTCTCTTTCTTTTTCACGTATGCGTTCACCGAAAGATTCGAAGATTGATAAATAAAATGCGTCAGTAACTAGTTGACACTATGTGAACCATAAATCTTAGTGAATAAACGCGTGATGACTGGCGACATATATCATCGATAAAAAATGTCTGTTTTTAAAATTTACTCGTTGGTTTCCCAAGTGTGCTCTCTCACAACGATGAAAATTCTAAAAAACGGAATCATACTTGATGTCAGTGACCAAATGTCAAATACGCTTTTCGTAATTAAGAACAAAAAAAGCTGTGAACTTTTTATTTTAGTAAATCATTTTTTATCCCTCGATAAATTGCAGAATATTTTCCTATTTCTAAAATATAATACTTCACAATAATTTTTTCTAAAATATTTTATCTATATATTTTAATAGAACAGGAGAAAACAGTATTTTACGTGTGTTTATTCGTTTTTCTTTTTCTTTTTTATTGTAGTTTGAACAATTTTACGTACACAGTTTTATTCAATAGAAACATAATTATTACTTTACTGCCAAAGTATTTAGTTCATTTTCTTCCGTCGGTAAATTCTTATTAAATTAACTTTTGATAGAATGTTCGATTTAAGGTCGCAAAAGAAAAGAATAATAAATTACAGATACAATTAAAATTACAGATACAATTAACAATTCACGGCTAAACGTTTCACTACGAAATTTTGACTCTTCATCAAATCAAATGGATTTCCTTCGCGCTACGTCTATTCAAATTTTTCCATCGTTCTTCTATCAAGAGCGACATACACGATAAGATCATTCAAAAAAGTACTTTTCAATGGAAAGTGTCATCGAGATGAAACGAAACGTTTGAAATCATTAACATACTATTAGAGAGAAGAAAGAACTTTTTTTAAGAAACTTTCTTCTTGAGCGATCCCGAATCGGGATTCGTAGCTAAATTATACACGAATGGAATTGCGGTGGCTATAAGGTAAAGAACAGCGAGCGCCGCGATCAGAAAGAACGCGTAAACGTCCAATAGTTCTATTTGCCACCATGTCAAATTCATCGCTGGCGATCTAAGCGCGTTCTCACCGTGTCTGATGATGTATTCGGTCCAATAAACCGCCGTGTCTTCTGCGCTTAATGGACGATCGCGAAACTTTTGCGAAAGTTTCTGCGCCGTGTTCCTGGAACACATTAAAAAGTTGAATGGCACTTAGCGTTTCCTTAATTATCCGCGAGGCACGATATTTTATTTTTTGACCCGAAAATGTAACATCAGCACGTTAAGCGCCGACATATTCATATGTTTATTCTTTAACAAGTTCCACGTAATTTTTAGAATTTTAATTTTTAATTAGGATATCTTTTATTTTGTATACACTAGTGGCGTTTAAATGATGTGATGTTAAACGATGAAAGTATCTTCAACGTTCTTTTGCCCATTTTCGATCCGTTTGCACTTTTCTAACGTTAAAAGGTAGCTCAAGTTTGAACAAAATCTGAGAAAGTTCCTCTCAAGTTTTATGTTAAATATCATCCTAACATAAAGTATACACATAACTCTTTCAACCTGTACTTTTTTAACGTTAAAAAGTATTTCAAGTTTAAACAAAATGAAAGTTTTTCTGTTAAACATCCTTCTAATATAAAATATTACGCAAACTCCGTTTGTTTTCTAAAATGACCATTAGATTGAAATTTGAGGATCGAAATCGAGATTGAATGCAGAATGAAGGGAAAAACAGCAAGCAGGGAAGGAATGAAAGTATTACCGATATTTGGGATCGTTCAAAATAGCATTCAAGGCGTTGTCCATTTTCTCCTCGGTCAGGGTTTCCAATTCTAATTCTATTGCGATGTTGTGTCGCATATAGTTGGCGATATTGATGAATTGATCAGCGAACAGCGGCATACCGATCATTGGAACGCCGTAGTGAATTGCCTCCTGGGTGCCCATAAGACCGCCATGGGTAATGAATGCCTTTACGTTCTTGTGTTCTGCAAAAATAAACGTTTTATTGTTAGATTGAGGCATCGTAATCTTCTGTTCATTTCTTGGAAGTTCAGTAGCAGACAAAATACCAACGGGAATTCAGATGTATATATTGCAGTGTAAATACAATAGAATTTGTTTATTCGAACACGTCAGAGGACAAAGGCTTTTGAAGTTCGGATAATACAGGCTCGCTCTTATTTGTTTGGATTAGTGACGTATAGAGCTAGGCCCAAAGGTTGATCAAGACTCAATCTTAAATCTTTAAACTTACGGAAGCTCAAGCTTTCCAAGTTTTATGATTAATAGCTCTTAAAGTTCGAGAGTAATATGTAAGTATCATAGACGAAAGTATTTGTACAGTCGATGAAAAATTGTGTATGCTATAAACTGTTATAATTTTGTAAAAAAGAAATCGTATAACAATCCAGTTGGCCTCATTTTAAATTGTGAAGCCTCCACTTTCACAGCTCTTTAATTAATATTCTTCGAAGTAGAAAGTAGAAAAGCAAAGATACTTGAATACTCTTTCTCGAATATTGTAAAAATTCAAGTCAAAAATTGTCTCTTAATTCTACATCTTCCACCAAAATTTAAAATAAACAATTTAAAGTCCCACAACAGACTCCGTCTTGGTAAGCCTTAATCTCAAAAGTTTCTGTTCTTGATGAACTTTGCAAATCCTATCTGTTCAAGTATCTTTGTTCCCTTCGTTAGTGTTAATGTGCTTAACGACGACTACTTACTGAGAACTTTGACTTGCGGTATCCATGGTAAGACGTGGACGTTCTTCGGCAGACCAGGTGGAAGTTCGTTCGATTTTGCAATTTTCATGAGAACACGGACAGGTGATATCTTTCCTAAAGAGTTGTAGAAGATGTTAATGTGCTTGATTGGGAAGGACTCGATCTTCACCATCGAACCGAACGAGAAGTAAACGAAACCGTGCGTGCTCTCGTTCATCCATTTTTCTAGACTCTGAAAACAAGTTTTCTTATTGAATGCAGCTTTGAATTGTTTTTCTTAAGTATAACGATAGATTTTACGATCATTGAGGTTTTCTTTTTTATTTTTTCTTACTTTTATATACTATGGACCACGACACAAATCGTATTTGAACAAAGTCATATATTAAAAGATATATGAAGTAAATAATTTAATGTAAATGAAGAGAGGAATTCTGAATTTACGTGAAAATTGAGAATGTACTAGCGTTTGTTAAGAAAAGTAATCAGAAATTCAAATTCTTATAATCGAAACAAGGGTTCTTCATATAATTAAATTTTCCTATTCGACGATAATTTAAAGAAAGATACTTGACTTTCAAGATATTCTAGGAAATACAGTTTCAATCCTTAATTTGGTTCGATCTTTTATCTCTGCAACCTAAACAACTATCAACAAGAAAACAAGAAACATCGTTTCTCTGTAATTCGATAAGTTTCCTCGTTAGTCGCGAAACGAATCACGATGCAACGAATAAGCAAAAGAAGCTTCACCTGTCAGATTTATCGCGTTTCAGGCATATTATTCGAGTGTAAGGAGGGACAAAGAGACCCTGAAGAGAAAAATAAGAATTACCGCGGGCAATTCCACTCCCTCTTCTTGCACATGCAATCCGCCAACTTCGATGTACGCGGGAGTCATGTCCTTGATCCCATTGATCGATATGTGCGAGTTGACGAATATCATCGACATCTTTTTCTCCAGTTGCCTGATGTCCGGCGCATCAGAGCTGATGTATTTCCTCACGATGTCTGTCTGTTCGCTGGACAGTGAGCTGAATTGCCACTTAGAGCTGACGATACTCAGAAAATTGTGCATTCTCTCCCAGAAGTTCATATTCTGTGAATACGAGAGTAGGTTAGATGGCACGAACGCAAAGTTTTCCGGATTTCCGATGAAATCGTAGATCCACGGATAAAGGACGGCGGAGCTCGCTCCTATCACTGGTACTTTCAAAATGTCACCCAGTATCGCGAAACAATGCGCTCCAAATACCTGAAAAAAGTTGTACAAGTTGGATTATTCTTCCAAATTTTTTTTTATTTTTTTATCCGTTGGATCTTTGGAAGGTTCGATTGTCAAAGAGAAAGAATTATTTTAACATAAGCGCTGGTTTGAGTGTTGTAAATGCCAAACAAGCATGGTTTATTTTTACAAATTGTTGGACCTGAGATTCTCTACAAGTTTGTTCGATTGTTGAAAAGAAAGAAATGATACAATTACATTAGATGCTAACTTAATTGCTGAAAATGTCTTATTCTCAATTGATCTTTGATTTGATGTTTGTTGTAAATTTTAATTTGTCAAGATTGAGATTGTGTAGAAGAAGGAGAATAAAATTACGAATATTTGAAACAAACGCAATTTGTGTTTTTACGAAGTCATTCATTTGATAATTCGTAAGATTGTCGAAAAGCAAAAGAGATAACATAGAGTTACAACAGCTTCTTATATAATTGCATTTCCATGTCGTGTTCTCTAAGCTATGTATTTATTAAATAACTATTATTGAATAATTTTTGAATAATTTCATCATTCTTTACATAGAAAAAACATTATCGATGGTTTTTCTTTGTTGAGACATTGCGGAAACTGACTCGTCACTCAATGATAGTAGAATAAAATAAAATAAAGACAGATAGTAGAGCATACATATGTACGTGAAACATGAGAAGATATGAAATTATTATATAAGAGAAGTTACTCAACTATGACATGTATATTGTGAAAATATTGCATAATATGTCATTACTAGAAAGAAGCAAGCAAAATGTCTTGCAGCATGATATTCAGTTTGTCGTGAGAATTTGCTTTTGCTGTCACAAATAAACTGGAAATTATTTTATGGAATTTATTCGTAGAATTGGCGTATCTTTTCCAATAATTGTTTGAAAACAGAATAAATGAAACTGTGTTGTTTGAGAAACACGGTTCAAATTATTTGGTAAATTATTTAACTCGAATTATCAGTAAAAAATGATTATTTAGATAAAAAGTTCTTTTCCCATAAAAATTAAAATATTTTCAAGATTATTGCTCTCAACTTTTTAAGATATTTTTTTTTGTTAAGATTTAAATCATTCCTCGATATCTTAACGTACGTTTCTCAATATTTCATTTTTGTCTTCAGAATAATTTTGACTTTCTCTATGGAAATATCTGCTTTAAGAAAATCGACATGGATCTCCTTTAAAACTGTGTAATAAAATGTTAAAAATTTTGAAAATTTCTGAAAATTATATGGCTAATAAAGAATACTACTAACTATTCTCTGTAGTGATGATGGCGATTTTTATATTTATCGTAATGACTATAAAAATAATCCAAGATGAATTCCGAAAGAAATACTACAGTCCAAGAAATTTTTAATATTTCATAAATTGCACCATTAAAGGCAACCACGTATTTTGAAGTATGGAGTTACGAGTAAATGTCCTAAGGAAATTGCAACTAATAGACTGTTGTCTCGAAGATTTAATGTTTGGAGCAAGAATTAATATTGCCTTACTAAGTAGTAAGTTGAACGAAGGATGGATCAGTTAGTGGTGATTTTGATACCGTTTCTCCATAACAAGCCAAATTGTTAGTCTACGAAGTTTTCGATAATTGCTTTACTTACACCGAAGCAACTTATGGCTTCCTGTGTGTTAGTGAATGTGTAACTACATGTAAAAATATCATTCATACGTTAACACAACATTTATGCAATTTATTCTTTTTATTTATTTCTTCATCTATTCCCAACGATTATTTTATTTTATAACAATCGTTAGACTACGCAACAGTGGGATAGTTAATTAAAATTAACTCTGAAGACAAAAATGAAATGTTGAGAAACGAACATTAAGATATCGTGAAATGATTTAACAGAAATCTCAACAAAAAAAAAAAAAGATCTTAGAAAGTTGAGAACGGAAACTTGGAAATATTTTAATTTTTACGGAAGAACATTTTATCTAAATAACCATTTTTTACTGACAAATCGAATTAAATTCTATATTATATTTAAGAAATGTTTGTCTTAATGTACGTATCTATTGTTATGGTCGAGTGTGACTTTTAGAACCATACGCTTCAAATATTGTAATCAGTTTAACCTAAATTGAAAGATTATTTTTAAAAGCAGTAAATCATTATTGTCAAAATTGATTATGTAAGTGCAATACATAACATAATAACAGTAATAGAAACGGATGGTAAGAGAGGGAGAGGGGAGCATTGAGAAAAATCTAGGGCAGATAAATTGTGTGGAATACACATTATATAACATAATAATAAACATTATATAACAGTGAGTTGGATAAAATTTTCCAATCCACATAATTTTCTATAATACTTGATTCTAATCTTGCTCGATCAATTTTCACTTCAAATTGTAACTGTAAATTTTACAATTTCTTCCCGTAACGTTACACCTTGTTCACAATTTATGGTTAGAAATTATTGACTGATATTAGAAATACATCTGAACGAATTGAGAGTTAATGAGACAATGAAAAGTTGATATCTTTAATAAATTTCGATCCATATATTTTAACATGTCAATGCGTTTTAATGACCTTTTGTAAATGTTACAATCTAAACGATTTTGTTTGAAAATGTTCTTTCACACCAGATATTTCCTTTAACTTTCCATAACGTACTTCTTCCAAAAACTGCTCGTAAATTGCGGTGTGCCTCGTAAAATGTGGAGCAATTTGCAATTCTGAAACTTGCCTGTTCCAAAACTTTGTCTCCTTTATCACCACTGATAATTTTAATAAAACAAACCGTCAACCACATTATATATTCCGCGTATATTCCATTACATCCTTTCAAAAATATTTTATTCTATGTATATTTAACTTCTTCCAAGGGTATTTCATTCTATTCTTTGTACGTTTAACCACACTCAAATATATTAACAGATTATCATATAATAGTATAATAAAATTAATATTATATAAAATTTATCAATTGTAGTGACAATCAAAGGTCCAAAAGAAATTATATAAATTTTCTATTTCTGTAATTTATACCTCCATGATAATCACGTCGTAAGATGGATCCTTAGGCGGGTTTTTTATAAGTTCTTGAATCTGTGGATTGTTCAAATGTTCGCAAACAAGGTTTCCGGCCAAAGTAGCCACGACGGAAACAACCGAGTCCCTAAACATCGTGTCTATTTCGACGTAGGTCAAATTATTCATGAATTGTCTTTCCGCTGGCAGCACGATCATGTCGTTATAATTCGGATACGGTTTCTTCAAAGGGAACGTGCTAATCACATCGACCTGATGGCCTTTTCTAGCCAGACTCTTCATCAGGTGCTCGAACATCATGAAGTGACTCTTTCCGTTGAATGGAAACACGCCTAATATTCGGTATCCGTGACATGCCGATAATATCGTGCAAATTAGCACCACCGATAACACTTTCATGTCTTTGAACTCTATTGAATTTTCACTTCACTTGGAAATTTTTCGAAAATTAATCGAACTGATTTATCGGTTTACTTCTGCTTAATTTCGACGAAGTGCAATATTTCACAAACTGCAAACACGATAGGATTTTTCACTTTATCTCAGACACTTTACCTCTGATTGTTTAAAGTTAGAAGCTTGATGCGTTTACTGTTCAGTTTACTTTCTTATAAGTTATGATAGAGAAAGATAGATAAGATAGATAAAGATAGATAGAATTATGATTTATAACAACGCGACAATAATAGGAAATAGACTGATTTTTAGTAGATTACAGTGGTCTGACCCGTCTAACAGTGTAGGAAAAGGCACACTTTACAAAAATATTCCTTCCGCTTGAAACGTATTTGAATTGACACGAGTTGTGTTTGTCGTCGACTCGATTTTACGATTATTATTATTATTATTATTATTATTACTTAGAATTGATATTACAAGCACGTTGTTCTCTTTTTCCAAAAATATTTTCTTTACTCCAGAGAAGAAGATAGATCCGATCCACTCAAAGAAAAACCGATGTTTATCAGTTATTCAACAGAGTTTCTCAGCAGAAATTCTGGTTATCAGATCATTGATCGGACTAACCTTGCATGTAACATCTGAGAAAAACAATCAACATTCTAATATATATATATGACAAACAATCAACACTCTAATATATAGTTGAGTTAAGTCACGATCGTAATACGCCGTAAGACCTATTTGAGAGTTTTTAACTTTAACTTAACTTTCGTATTGCTTCGTTTAAACACGTTGACTGTCACGATTGTATTTGCACATTTGTATTTGCATATCTGTAACTATACTTGACAATATATTGATAAACATGCATTTTTTATTTTATAATAAATGTCTGTGACTGTCCCTACTTATGTTCCCCAATATTGAAGTAGCTAATTATAATAAATAACAAAAGTAAAATTGAAATAAATCATGGAAATGAATTCGAAAGATATTTTTTTCCAACAATAATCTATTAATAATAAATTACTTATTTAAATAATGTTAATAATACTTTAAATAATCTACTTAAAATAATCTACTTTAAAACTGTTCGTGACTATCATTATTTAAATGCACCAATGTTGAAATAGTAAAATAAAATAAAATAAAGAAACGTGTAAAAAAATTTTTTTTTTATATTACATTAAAGTAAACTATTTTATAAAGTTTTATAATTTGTTCTATAAATAAATAATATATCAAATATTTTGTAAAATTTTATAATTTGTTTTATATATAAATAATATATCAAATATTTCATAAAATTTTATAATTTGTTCTTTAAATAAATAATATATCATTGTGATAAATTTATTTTGTTTGTTTTGAAAAAATTTAAATTTTCACAAAATAGTTTACACGTTCCTTTATTTTATCTTAGTAAATTTAAAAAATAAATAATATCGTGATAAATTGCATAAAAGAACTCGTAAGAATACTTTTTATTCTTAAAAGTTTCTTCATACACAAGTTTTTAATATTAGAGCACGCAGATAAAGCGGTTACTGGTAGTGTTATCTGCTTATTTGCGTTATTTAAAATTTGTTGGCCACAAAATCGATATTCGTTCTATTTTAACTATCCTATTCTAAAATATCCGTGAGCATAGAAACACGATAACAGTCCACTGTTAAAGGAAACTTTCAACTAATACTTTACAGATCAAACTGGTCCACGAGCGAACTTTCGTTGTACACTGTTAATCGCGATCTGTGTGTCGACTGTGTGAGAAACTGTCCAAGTCGTTTCTGTTACGTCAGTCACTTGTTTTTCAATTTTCTTTTTTTTTCACGAACACATCATCCACATTGTTTCGTGACTATTCGAAATCGTTCGACGAGTATGAAACGCAGTTTTTTTTTTAAATACCGACCCGAAACTGGTTGATTGCATTGATGATAGAGTGAACGATACGTATGTACTAAGAACACTGTCATTTGGTCGGTTATATCATCCGACAGAACTGTAGTGCCGTTTGCGTAGTGAGTTATAGAATCTAATGCATCGATTTAAAAGGTTTATTAGCACTAATGAAAGATCATTGGGTTAAATTAAATTATTCTACATAGTATCGCCGGGTGTATATGTGTATGTAATTATTAGTTGCAATAATGTGCGTGTTAATTGCTAAATTAACGCTTTTAAATGCGTCGTTATATTTAAAAGGAGATATTCGTTTAATCGGATTCGAAATATCAACCATTTCTTTCTAAATTTTAAGCAAAAAAAAAAAAAAATTTTAAAGCCAATTAAATTTTGAATTTTTCGTTCCAATTTTTTTATCGATGTTGATTAAGAAAATTGTATTTTACTCGTAGAGAATTCGTGACTTGCTTGAATAGCATTTTAATTATAAAAATATTTTTCACTAACATGCAAATTTGATATTATAAATAGAAAACACGAGCGATGTATGAGTCAACGTGAATTGTTACAAGCTAGTATATATTTTCTCCGACGTTATTGCAGGTATCAACTTGAAATTTTTAGGTATTAAATGGCGTAGAGAAACTAGTATTTTAGGCGATGCTAGTCTATTAGTCTCAGTTAATACTACCTAATTTTTTTTAAACGGAACGGTACATCTTTCGTTATTATTTCAATAGCTGTTATCAAACCTAATAACTTTTACTTCAGACATTCTTTTTATTCTGCGCAGTTAAAAAGTTATAGCGATTTTTTATGGGTACTCCGGTTATATAAAATATTTATTTTCATTTGCTATTGTATTCGTATATGTCTTTAATTCTAAAATATAGAGTATTAATTCTAAAATATAGAATATAAAAGGCAGTGTAATTCCTATCTAACTCACTAACTTGTAAAGCTTGATTTAATCAAGGAGTTTCTATGTATTATAAAAAAAAGAATCGTACGAGTTTTGTAAGATGTTGGTTTATTCAGATTTTGTTAAAAATCTCAATTGGATTTCTCTTTCGGCTTGTCGTGTTTATCTTTCATCCGACAAAACTGTAGTGCCGTTTGCAGTATATGTAGTATATACAAATTTTTCAATACGAATTTAACGGTGACGAATAAGAAGTAGAGAATGAGAACGAAAGACGCGATTAAGAAAACGAAGACGTCGATTAAATTTAATTTCCACCAGGGCATGTCCACTGCGGGAGATTTCAAAGAATCGGGGCCATTTCTGATCACGTACTCGGTCCAATAAATCGCGGTATCCAAAGCGTTCATTGGTCGATCTCTAAACGTGTCTGACATTTTCCGTGCAGATTTTCTGAAACAAAACGAAACGACCAATGTACAAAATTTTATCCTTGTCTAATTAACCAAGCATTTTCTGTTTTAAGCGGCTTTTTAAAGGATGAAGAATGCCGAATGCGTGATCCAAGAGGAAAGTTTCGAAGTTCTATTAAAAAGCATTTTTTTCATCCACGATCTAGATGTTTCTTATCAAATTTTGACCGACTATTTTAGAATGAGGTCGAATAACTACGTGTACCTTGTGAGTCACGTTCCTACTAGAAAACGTGGTTGATTTTAGATTGTAAAGTCCTATTCAGGGTGCAACGATCACGATAGTTTACGTAGCTTTTAAATATGTCTACAAATCGGTAAGTGATATTCACTCTTGTCCGCTCAGTTTCAAGTCATACGTGTCAGTCACGATAAGCGCTTTTCGTAACGTTAATTAACAGTGATCCGAACAGTGATCAAATTACACGCGATTAAGTAAACTTTTATTTTAGGAAGGAAAAGTTGCATTAAAATTTCGCGTAAAAATATTCACGTGTTTTCAGAACTGACAATTAAAAGATAATAAAATAAATATACTTTAAATATTTCTTTCCAGTTGTGAGGAAACGAGATGAAATTTGTTAGTGTGAAAATTAATATTGATAGTCAACAATAATATTAAAAATGGCAATGCCAGAAATAGAAATATCATTATAATTTACCTGTACTTGGGATCATGTAAAATTGCGTGCAATGCAATATCCATGGAACGTTCACCGAGATCTTCCGAATGTAACAAAATTCCCATATTCTTGTGAACCATGATGTTCACGTTTCTTATCTGGTCTGAGAACACTGGTATTCCTATCGTGGGAACCCCATAGTAGACAGCTTCCTGAGTTCCCATAAGCCCACCATGCGTTATGAACGCTCGTGTATTTTTATGTTCTTCAAAAAAAAAAAAGAAAAAAAAAGAAAAAGAAAAAGAAAATAAAGGTAAGAACGAGAATGGATTACATACACAAATATATAAAACCAATTATATAGACAACTAAATTGATTACTTGTAATATATACATGTAAATATATAAAACCAAACCAATTGAAAAACCAAGCGGATTAATATTTACTCACTGAGCACTGAAATTTGAGGAATCCACGATGACATGACCACGTTATCGGGCAATCCAGGAGGCAATTTTGTCGCGTTGACAATTCTCATTAAGACCCTGGTCGGGGAAATTTTTCGGAACGACGCGTACAAGCCCAATAACGTGTCCCGTGGCAGAGTTTCGATGTTCATCAACGAGCCTAGTGTGAAATACACTAATCCGTGATCGGCCGTGTCCAGCCAATTCTTAAGTTTCTAAAACAGAACAGTGGAATGGAATTGCAAAAGTGATGACGATTTGGAGTGTGGGTGGTTTGAGTAAAAAGTGACGACTTGTGGAGAGTAGATTTATGAGTAGAATTATTTTGCTCTGTTACTCCAAGCAAAGTAATTTCTAATCACGAACTCTTGTCCATGGATAGTGATTAGTAATATTAGTAATATTATCAGTATGTTTCTAATGACCATATCGACGGAACGGTGAGGTTCAATTTCAAGATTTTCAAGTACCTCCTTGCAAGAAGTTTATAGATTTTGCGGAATAAAATTTTGATCAGAAAAAATGCGATAATTTTATTACGCGACACAGTCGCGTCAAATTAACGATCTGGAATTAATCAAAAATACAAATATTGAAAAGTGTGCATTTGTTCACAAGGATAGTCAAGATATAACATTCATTGCAAAATTCATTGCAAGAGGCTGTCGTGGAGTATAAATACGAATAGTAAAGTACACGTGTTACGTGAATTAGGAAGAGTGAACAGAATTACTCTCTGCCATCTAAATTGCGAAGATACGCAAAGGAAATTTTTCACAGTTAGTCACAAGTGGAACATTTTTACAGCTTAATTAAAAAGTTGCGTCATTTGTTGCAAGTGCGCGATATAAGTTAATTAGTGGTCTAATAAACAAGAGGGGGAAACTGAACAACGTGAAAAGAGAATTTCCAACGTTTTTCACGAACTTACTGGAGATAACGGTATTTCTTCTTCTTGAACGTGTAATCCTCCAACTTCGATCACCGCCGGGGCAAACGATCGGATCCCGTGAAAAGAGTAGTGAGAGTTCACCAGAGCCAAAGTCACGTTTCTCTCCAATTGTCTGACGTCTGGCGAGTCCAACCCCAGGTATTTCTTCATGAGGCTAGTTTGATCGGACGTGTAGTGATAAAACGTCAGTGTATCCTTGTAATTTAGAACCAGGTTCCAAACTCGATCAAAAAATGTATTCAGCGCGACGTTCTCGAGCGATGCACCGGGGAAGAAGGCGAAATTGAAAGGGTTCCCCATGAAACTGTCGACGTAGGGTGTTTCGAGGCCACTCACAACGATGGCCACCGGTGTGTTTAAAAATGTGCCGAGGCCTAAGTAGCATGGCGACCCGAAGTACTGCAAATGAATAAATATTCTATAGAATCAGACGAAGTGAGAAAATTCATTATCATAAGACGTCAATATTAACATTATTATTAAATAATTAAATTGTTATGAATTGTACAACGAAGAGCACAATTGAACTAATAACGATGAAAAGTCAAAGATAATTTAAAGTATTATAATTCTTTTGATCTTGATCGTATATACCTTTTCACTTTAATTTCTTTGTCACGTATTTTACATTTTTGCTTATGCTATTTTGTTCAGAATTAATTACCTCGGTGATCATGAGATCGTAAGGTGGATCCCTTGGTGGATTTTTGATAAAGTTTTGCATCTTTTCGTGACCTAGTAAGTGACACAAATCATTACCATACGTCGTCGCAACATAATACATTACGGCTGAATGTATCGTTCTTCCATGTTGAATGCTTAAGCTGTTGACTGCGTCCTTTCTCGTTCCATTCAAATCGATAATATCCCTGTAATTAGCGATCGGGACTTTTGTCGGGAAATGACTGATCACGTCGACTTTGTGTCCTTTTTTTGCCAGTCCTTTGCACAGAACATCGAACATTCTCGAGTGACTTTTACCATTGTATGGGAAAACGCAGAGAATTCTGTAGGCATCGTTCACGCACACGAGAACGGCCATTAGCACAAGGAAAACTATTTTCAGGCATTCCATTTTCTTTTTGTTTCCCTTTGAAGAATATCTGTAAGAAATATTTAGTTCAGATTATACAATATGCTCTAAAAAGTGTAGAAGCTTGACAATTTCGCTTGTGGCGGAATGAATTTCAGTTAGACAATTTTGAGAATTGAAGAATCAAAATATGTATACGCAACTTTCGGAACGAAGACATTGGAAAATTCGGAAATTTAACGACTCACGAATTAAAAGATTTTCATTGTACGTATATACAGAAGCTTGAAAACTCGAAAATTTCAAAATTAAGAGAAATTATATTTAATAAACGTGAAAGCTTAAAAATTCGAAGAGTCAAAGATTCGAAGATTTAAAAATTTAAATGCGAAAGTTTGGAGAAATCTTATGCTTAGCGTAATCTAAGATCCGTACTATAAATTGCAGACTTGTTTATTTTTTATTTTGCTGTTAACTGTTTTCACTAAAATATAATTGGGAAAATATAGTGTATTATTCGACTATTCTGCGACCAAATAAATCTTCTAAACGTCTTATATATGAAAAGATCGTGCAACATTAAAAATTAAATAATAATACATACAATCGAGGAACAGCAATTTCGTCTCGTGCTCAGTGAACAGCAGATCTATTGATACTATTTAAGTTCACGAATGGTGCGAATGTCTACAGTCCACACGTCATTATTTCAAACGAAAGGATCTGTTTATATATCTGTTTATGTATACATTTAGCACTTACTTTACTACTGTATAATACTGATTAGCACATTTTCAAGAACTAACCAATTATAAAGTCAGTTATCAGCTTCAATATTTTACGTTCATTCAGTATTCAGTGTCATCATTTTCCACTTACTCGTATGTTTCCGTCGAAAATGAAGGAGGGAAAATCTTTATCTCTCAATTTTTCGATTCTTTCATTTTTCAATCTTCTAGTTTCCAAATAGAGTTCTCAAGTTTCGAAATTTCGAAACCTTTCAAATATTTAAACATTTAGCCTCTCAAATTTTCACTCAGATTTTCTTTAATGTTCGAATATTTAATTTTTTAAACTTTTCGATATTCTCGATTTTTTTCGAATTTCGCGTTGAACATCGAAGCACTAGAATTTTGAATGTTTATAGTTTCGAAAAGTATTAGTTGCCGATCGACGTGAAATTTCGAATGTAAAATTTCAATTTCGGTCTTTTGTTAGTTTTCAAGATGTTAATAGAAAACTTCCGATACAACACATTGAATTCTGCCTTTACAGACGTGACTCTAACGACTGATTTCTCTCGAACAACCAATAACGCAATAGCGATACCTTATCTCATTCGATGTTATAAATGTGTAAGTTTGATTATTATAGTGTTGACCGTAATGTCAAAGTTCAATTTTTTGTACCAGAAGTTCTTTTTATGTCGGAAACTCCAAAACCAAAGTTTTATATTTGGTTTTCTCCTCTCCTTCTCTTCATCCCCTAAAAATCTGGCGCCAACTGGAAACTGATATATCTCAGAACAACATTCACATTTTTTAATTTCTCAATTTTTCAGTCACTCAAATTCTCAGACTCTTGAATTTTAAATCATTCAAAAAATAATTCTGTTACTCTAAAAGTATTCTCCATCAACCTTGTTGCTACCAACGCATATAGGACGAGATATCAACTATGTTGGTTATGCAACACCACCGATCAGACATTACCTCCTCATAACACGCTTCTGATAAATTATCACACTTCGTAATTTCTGCTTATATCGACAAATCATCTCGAATGTCTTTTGTCAAAATTAGAGACATTGAAGGAAAAACAATGTTGCAAAGTATTGTTATTTGCTAGGCGAGATTCAGTGACTCCCATTAATATTCGAACACTGAATATTGATACTGTTATAATTTTGTAAAAATAAAAAAACATGTGTGTGTGTCTTTTGGAAAGGGTAATCCAAGGTTTGTCACAAAGAAGGACTTTGAGGAAATCAGGGTGATTTTTGATATTTTATTCAAGACAAGAAACTAATCATACATCGTACATCAGTCAATATACGGAAAAGGGAGATCTCACAAACTCAGTCGTTAGTACCTTAGTTATTCAGACGAATCAGGCTTTCTGAATTGTAGTAAAATCCATCAGACTTATTACACAATGAAAACAATAAGTGAAAATCAACCATATAATTATTTGTTTCCCGTATATTCGAATGCAAAAAGTCTTTAATAATAATATTTTATTATTTACCTGCGGCGTTCTCTCTAGGCTGTATCTTTCAAAAGAGACACGCAATGTTACATCCGTTGCTTATCCCGAAGTTGGGCGTGTATCCCACGAACAACTATCACGAACGATTTCAACTAAACGATGACATTTGGCAATTTTACCAAACTAGCGAAATTTCTCCTATTTCCTGGCTATTCGCGAAAGCTGAAGCGAAACTTCTCGGACAAAAGCGATTTCCCGAACGTCACAACTTTCAAAAGAAGTGGCCCTCTTTCAGTAAGAACGTTGCAAAATGGCCGGGCGTTGCAGTTTTATTTTACGTACGGTGAAGCGTGCAAAGGGACGGTGACTTTTGAACAAGCCCTCGGTGACTGGCGTGGAGGAAACGTTGTTAAACTTCCCAGGAAACTTGTCAAATGTTCGCACGATTTTAATACGATCGATGGTAATCCTGTCCACGTTTAATTACGCTCGATCGAACTTCCAACGGTTCGTTTAATCGAGTTGTAAGTGGCTTTATCGCTGAGCTCCTTTACTTTGGATCTTCGTCACCGTGTTTAATTGATCGTAATCTTTTTAACACGCTTCTTCTTACTGCCGGTCTTTTCTATCTTTTTAATTGAGTTGTACTTAGACGTCTGTTACCAGATTTAATAGGCTCTGATAGTTCTACGAACCGATAATAAATAAATGAAGTCTACACAGACATATAATACAGAGTCGGCCAAAAATCACTTCCTTCTAAAATAAATCTGTAATTTCTTTATTGTATACATATTTTTTTAAATTTTTTCTTTTTTTAAAGATTAAACTAATTTAAGTTCATGCTTGAATTTAGTTTCTCGTACCGCGACGATTGACAAAGTATATGATTGAAGTAATTAAGACAGACACATAAAGTACCATCATCTTGAACTTAGAACAATTTTATAAAACATTCTAACGACTATAAAATTCTAATAATTAAAATATATAGTTTTTCGTTCACTTTTTGACTATATATCGTCTTTGATATCAACTTTATCACTGCTTTACAAAAATTTCCACTCGTTGAGTCTTTCAAAAAAAAAAAAAAAGAAAAGAGAAAGATCTCTATGCGTTGAGAAAATTTCTTAACGACACTTTCATCCTACTAAACTTTTAATTTACAATCAGTTTACTTTTCTCTCCATTTGAGCGCTGATTTTCTGGAATTTTGTTGACGTAACTTTTAATAAAACTATCAATAAATAAATAGTAACGGAACAGGTGAAAATGTCAATCGGATGTAACTTTCATCAAGGTAACTTCGCTGCAGATAATGCGAAGCTATCTTCAGTCCATTTCTGATCACGTACTCGATCCAATATACAGCCGTGTCTAATGCTTTCATTGGATGATCTCTCAATATCCTCGACACATCGTCTTTGTAGATCGTCTGGAATAATAAGAGACAGGGCTTGAGTCTTGCTGTATGTTTTCAAATTTATATTGCTCACGAATATATTGCAATGCATTTACATTGCATGTTAAGAGTCTGAAAACGTTTCAAATTTTATATCTTGTTAACGTAATCTTTAAATATATATCGTTGATTTACTCAGTAAACAACAAACAGTGATTTCGCAATTTTACACGTTTTAGAATTTTTATTACGTATAAATTAAAAAATACGAACGTTTACAATTCAATACATTGAACAACGAGGATGTAACACAATATACTATGTAACAAAATTTGAAGAAATACGTAGTTATATAGATAGTTTATTACCTAACTGTAATTATAAATTTTCTCAATTTAATTTAATTTTCCAATTTCAGAATGAATATAATACATTTCGAGATTCTTATAGAATCTTTTAAAAGTGACTCTCTCGTTATATCAATGCAAAATGAAAATTACAAAAGAGTCGCTTTTAAAAGATTCTACGAGAAGTTATCGAAATTAAAAGAATTAATTTAAATTGAAAAAAATGTGTAGCCTAGTCGATATTATCGATATTGATAGGATTATTTCAGGAATTTTATCTGTATTTAGGATTGTGCATGAGTCTGTCGTCGATATTCATTAAAACAGCCACGTTCTTACGGACCGATGTGTTGACGTTCTGAATTCAATCGGAGAATATTGCTATCGATAGTAGATTCATGCTCTACGAATACTCGAGTATTTTTACGTCCTGAAGAACAAGGTTATCTCGTTTCATCACTCTTCGAGAAATTTTTTTCTATTCCTGCAACTTGTAAATCCTTGACTCGAGCATCGTTAAATAGTAACAATATAGAACGAGGACTTCTCGGGAAGTACAAAAGGAAATATAGAAGTAAGAACTAAACGTTAGTTGTTAGTAAGTTGTGGCCGATGGTTTTAGAAAGTGTACTCGATTTATTTAATGCCCCGTGCTGAGAAATATATAATCGCGTTACTGGGCAGACCTAGTTACTTCGGCTTCGATGCGTTGGTGGTAGAAGCGCGCGAGATCTCGAAATTGTCGCGAGAAACGCGACGGTACTTATTTCGAGAATTTATTTCACTATTTTCTGATTTGAAATTATCGGGAATTCTCAAAAAAAAAAGAAATTTGACCTTGAATTTCAAGATCGAGGTTAATTTTACGACAGGTTCTTTACACGTATTTCCATCAAATCGAAGGCATGGAATTCACGGACTAACTTTTCTTTCCACCCTGTACATATGTTTTCACGTATAATACAAACCAACGGGGCCAGCAACTCGCAAGGGATGTCTAGAACAAAGAGCTCAGCTTTTAAAAAAATGATAAAAGTAACGAGGGCTGGTGAACTTCGTTCAGAGAAAATTTCGCCTTGGAAAGTTCCAAGTTTCGCGGGGAGCACTACTTAAAGCGACTTAAGTTATTTAAAAAAGAATTCGAAGGAGGCCGAGATCGCGCAGTGATCTTGAAAGAAAATTCATAAGAGAAGAGAGCTTGAAGAGCTTCGTAACTTCGAAGAGAGCTTGAGAAAAGAATTTCCAGAGACTTTCGGGGAAATCGTCGAAAGGAAACTTTTCGAGATACCTGCTGGGCTTGATTTCAGCCCCGTTCTCATCGACGCATCGTTCAGCTTTTACTGGCGCCAGTCGTTCTAGTTCCATAAGCGTTCTAATTCCATAATACCATGGACCACGGACCGTAATACCATGGAATAATACTGACTCCACTTCACCAGAGCCAAAGGCACGTTCCTCTCCAATTTTCTGATGTCGGATAAATCCAGATACTTGCTCGACGTTTCTCGGCTTGATCGAAGCCTTGCAATGATGAAATGGTGTCTCTCCGTGTCTCTCCGTGTTTTGACGAAAAATTCCGCAAACGATCGAGAAACGTCTATTGCGGGATTATCGTTGTAGAGACCAGAGAAGAAGTAACTCGAGGGATTTCCCGTAAACTTGTCGAATGGCACGTCCACGCCTGGTACTTTTAGTAGTTGATCGAATTCTATTTATGTAACATGGCGAGTCGAAATAAATACTGAAGGGAATATTTGTTCTTTGAAGTTGAAAGTGAATTATGTTATGCAGTGTTTAACTTATTAATTACTTTTATCATAATATTTGCGAAAAGTATTTGTACTGTTATGTATTTTTAATATGGAATTTAGTATCCGTCGAAAGTTTTAGGATAATCGTGCCAATCTGTGCCAAAATTGGAGAATCGAAGTGATAATAGTGAACAGGAGAATTGAAACGTAATTAATAATACCAAGAATTGGAACGAAATAGTTTGAACAAACGAGTTTGAATTTTTCGAAACTTGAAATTTCAGTAATTTCAAGGTAGAAGAATTTGAAGTTTCAAAAATTCTTATTCGCAGATAGAACTAGATTGATTATACATCTTCAATGTATCATCCTGGAAATTTCGATTTTAATTTCTGCGTCGAGAATTCAAATTTTTATGAATTTGGGATTTTAGAAACTTTGAAGTTCAAAAACTTGAAATTTGAAAAATTCTCAGTCGGCTTGCAATTCATAAATGGATCTAAATCTGTTATATGTAATATCTTCATTGTATCCTTTCTAATATAAAAAAAGAAGGAAAAAAAAAGATATTAGAATCTACAGAAGCTTATTAAAT